ACTCACTTCGTAGTTTCCAAGAGGACCTCGTTCGGCGAGTCCTGCCGGACGAGTACGAGTTGCCGCGGAAGTTTCGGCGACCCGAAGATGTCCCTTGTTCGAGAACTTGCAGCGATATCCAAGCAGATAAGGAAGAGGAGGAGGTAGTCCGTAGATAAGGGTCTTCTCAGTGAGAAGGAAGGAGGAGGGGGGAGGGGAGGGGGGGGGGGAGAACGGGAAGACGGAAAGAGCCTCCCATCCTCAACAACGAAGTAGGGAATGGCGCGGAAACGAAACCTCATAAGTAGATACAGTCGACAGTTTGATCGGACGGGAGCTATCTCTTGTTTCTATGCGCATAGTTTTATCGCGCTAACCGGCGCGCGCGATACGCACACACGGGTTATGTCTTCCGTTAATTTATGATACGCGACCGACGTGAAATGTCATAGTTGCCGGGCTCGAAGGCTTCCGGCCGTGCCGGATCCAGGACGCCGGGTCAAACACTCCGCGCCGCGCATCCTGCGTTCTCGCACAGACTCCGACTCTGACGCTGAATCGCATAGTTGGCCTTTGCATACCGACTCCGCTGTCGCCGTGCGCGGAACACGATTTATGCGAATTCCCTTTCTCGTAGATCGCCGAATGTAGGCAGATAGCCTGGACAGATTTATTCTGCCCCCCCCTCCCCCCCCTCCCTGATAAATTCGCCGGAGATGATGGAAGGTCGATTGTAAGTGAGATAATAGGTGATCCGTAATCATGAGCAGCGCAAGAATTTTTAAATGGAAAAAATGGCGGTTAATAATCTTGCCATCTTGCGATGATATTCCGGAAACAATTATTGACAGTTTATTAAAATTTTAATTAGGACATATATATATATCGAGGTTCATCTCTTAAATGAGGTTATATAGTGGTATGTCTGTACATTACGTAAATAGCGATGCATTCGCTTATTGAGAACCAAGCCAAAATAAATAAAACAGCATTATCCACCGGAATAGTGAACATGTAAATCTCGTGTACGATGGGGAATCAATCAGTCCACCAACCTTTTCGTCGTGATGTTACGTTGCATGACGTGCGAGTTATTGGAATCGGCGTTGGGCGAGATTACCGCGTTAGCGTCCGCTCCCGGCGAATCAAATATAGCGCGCACGAATTTCCAACGACGGAAAATTTTCGATGGCTTTGCGCCATCATGGCGGAACTGATAAAATTACCGGTCAATTATCCCGCATAAACAAATCCCGTGTAAGAAGATTCTGACCCAATTTCGTGCCGGGCGAGATGAGATCGTGACACGAAAAGGCGGAAAGTAAATTATCCTCTCATCCATTCTCTTACATATACACGTAGTTTCTCTCTC